CATATGTGGAATCTTAAAAAAAAAAGCATAAATACAAAACAGAAATAGACTCACAGACATAGAATACAGACTTGTGGTTGTCAAGGGGGTGGGGGGTGGGAAGGGATAGACTGGGATTTCAAAATGTAGAATAGATAAACAAGATTATACTGTATAGCACAGGGAAATATATACAAGATCTTGTGGTAGCTCACAGAGAAAGGAATGTGACAATGAATATATGTATGTTCATGTATAATTGAAAAATTGTGCCCTACACTGGAATTTGACATAACATTGTAAAATGATTATAAATCAATAAAAAATGTTAAAAAAAAAAGAATGAAAGTGGATTTATCATCAGAAAGAGTAGAGGCCAAACGGAAGTGGCAGAATATTTTTCAAATGCTGGAAGAAAAGACCCGTCAACTCAGAATTCTGTACCCAGTGAAAATATCCTTCAGGAATGAAGAGGAAATTGCTCTTATTTACAAATGACATGATGATCTACTAGAAAAATCCAGTGGAACCTACCAAAAGCAAACAAACAAAACCTTCCTAGAACCGATAAGTGAGTTCAGCTAGGTTATAATGATACAAGATAAGGAGTATAGCTTTTTGCTGTTTTGAATAAAGCTATTATAAACACTTTGTACATGTCTCCCAGTGCAAACATACACAGGAGTTACTCTAGAGAATATAGGTAGGAGTGAATTTGCTCAACTGAAGGGTATGTGAACATTCTGTTCCATAAGATAGGGTAAAATTGTACCCAAGTGCTTATATCAACTTATACACCCACCATCAGTTTAATTTGCATTTTCCTGATTACAAATCAGGTTGCTCATCTTTTCATATGTTCATTCACCATTCATATTTTTCTTCTCTGGGATAATGTGTCAGATCTATTGCTCATTTTTCTATTGTGTTGTCTTTTTCTTACTGATTTGTAACATTTCTTTGTATAATCTGAATACTGGTCTTTTGTTGTTTCACCGGTGGCAAACGTGTCTCAGGTACTGGCATATCTTTCACTTTCTTTACTGTACCTTTTGATAAACAGAAGAACTTAATAGTAGAGTAGGCAAATGTATCGACCTTCCCTTTTGTGATTGGCAGTTTTGTGCCTTAAGAACTCTTTTCCCATTTGGAGGTCAGAAAGAGGTTCTCCTATATTTTCTTTTACAAGTTTTAACACTTCACTTTTCACAGCTAAGTCCTTAATCCCTCTGGAATTGACCTTTGGATATGGCTCTTTCTTAACTCTGGCTCAGTAAATTATTCCAGCCTTTGTGAGCGCTCTGTTATCTTTTAATTCCAACTTCCCTGCCATGCTGGTTCTAATGCTTTGTCTCTAAAAATTGTGTGGGTTTTTTCTTTCTCTCGGTGTGCCTTGTAATTTTTTTCTTGATAGCCAGGCATGATGTACCAGGTAAAAGGAACTGCTGTAAACAGATCTTCAGAGATGTGGTGGGAGTTTTCAGGGACAGGAAGCATTGTCTGCATCCCACGATTAGGTCTTAGTCTTTAGTTAGCCTGTGTCTCAGGACTGTGAACTTCACAAGTATTTGTCAGTTTTTTTCTCCCCACTTAAGTGGGACAGGATGGCTAGGTGGGCTGCGGTCGAGTATTCCCCTCCTGCCACAGTGGAAGGCAGAGGAGCCTGGAGTTGAATGTCTCCTTTCCTCAGGTCAGTTAGGCTCTGGTTAACTAGCATCACCTGAGGGCAGGCTTTGTTACAGAGTGCTCTGACTTATTTCAAAATGGCTTTTTTCTCTTCCCCTTCCTGAAGCCTGAGGGGATTTTTCTGTAATATTTACTGTGAGAATCTGGTAGGGCTCGTGGAAGTAAAGCTCACAGTGTTGTGAGGGCCCCCGTGACTGCATCCCCCTGGAGTATTAACTCTCAGAGTTGTCCCCGCAGAGACTCCAGCAATCTTCAGTTACAGTTCAGGTCTCCCTATCCTGGCCCTGCTTCCTGTGACGGTTCCACTGGCAAGGCTCTGCTCAGGGAAGCCGAGACATCCTGTATTCCCCTGTTGGTCTCTCCAATTTTGGGGGCAGTGGTTTCCGAATCCAAGAAGAGTTGTTGACGTGTACTTGTTCTTAGGACAGAGTGGTGACTTCCAGGCTCCTTACATGCGGAGCCAGACACCAGAAGTCCTCTGTTGTCTTTTAAAACCTAAATGAATGAGAAAATCTAGGTAGTAAACTCATCCATGGCATGATTTGGGAAGATGGCCAATTCTCCACTAGGCATCTGTGAAGGAAATTTTGGTCACTTGACCTAAGTGTCTTTCGCTGTAGCCAAGGCATCTTTGCTTTAGCAATTTTTCAAGTGCTTGAGTATTATGTGTTAAAAAGCTAAAGAAACCAAAAGCAGAGGAATGGTGAGAGAATCCCCTCTCAGCATTTTAACAATGGCTCGGATCCTTTAAATGAGCTATTTGTTGAGAAAGAAAGCATACATTTTAATGCCTGTTTGTATAGTATTCTGAGTATGGGTTCCGGTTTTGTGAGGCAACACAGTTTACTGGAAGTATTGCTGGACGGGAACTCAGGAGACCTGGGGTTAAGCCTTGGTTTGTCATTACCTGCTTGTGAAACCTCTTTGTATCAGGAGTGTGTTCAGCTGCATGTAACAAGAACCTCCTAAAGTGGCTTAACCAGTTTTCTTTTCTCATCTAACAGCCCAGGAGGAGGCAAACTAGGCCCAGTGTAGGGGCTCCTCCTTCCTATTTAGTCTTCACAGTATGTGGCTTTTGTCTTCATGCTTTTCACTCAGTGACTACAAAATACGGCTCCACATCTGGCATTTTATTAGTTTCAGGCCTAGGAAGAAGAAGGGCAAAGAGCAAAAACCGAATCCCAGAGCCCTTTACAGGAGCTCTTCTACCAACTCCACCTGGGGCCTCCAGCTCACACCCCCGGGCCCAAACTGCTCTACTGCCCATCCTTAGCTGCAGTTTAAACTGGGCAAATTGCTGCCCAGAACAGAATCAAAGTGCAGTTAGGACAAAGGGCAGAGTGGGTGTCAGACAGGTTACCAGCAGTGTCTGCTCCACTCTCTGAGCTTCTGGTGGGAATGCCTACCCCCATGGCAGGGTTGTCTGGATAACAAAATGGAAGGTCACATGCAAGATCACTTCATACACGATAAAAGGTATTTCATAAACAAAGTGGAAATCTTATGAACTGTTTTCTCAGAGAGCAAATCGAATGTTAATAGCAAGTCTTACTAAATGCGAAGACTTGGGTAATCAATATCACTTGAACCTTAGCTCATTCTCTTTCAGACATCTTCAGATAAGCCAAGATCCAGGGTTTTCATCAGTACACAGCCTCAAATACCAATCTTCAGATCCATGTTATTATCAAACATTGTTGTGGTGGACATCTGTTAATTTCCTCCAGTATTCCTTTTCCCTTCCTCTTAGTAGGTGGAATGTCTTTCCATATGATTTTTCTTTGGAATGATCCCCTCACCTCTAAGGATAAGCCTTGATTAGTTTAAAGCCATTCAGCAAAGTCTAGTGACTGATTCAGTGATGGGTAATCAGAGTGACTTCAGAACTTGGGACGGCCAGCATGCTACACTATCCTCTTGTGGTCTTGAACTGCTGAAGATTTTTTTTGCACCATAAGGAGAGGCAGCCAGAAGGTGAAGTCAATCTACAGAGAATATGAATGCTCAGAGAACTGCAAAGAATCAAATGATATACATAGTGAACCTCTGTTTCCCCCAAACCAACCCTACATCCAGCATTTTTCCCCCAGCTCAATGAACCAAAATATTTCCTTGTTTTGTTATTTGTATAAGTGAGTTTGAGTCGGGTTTCCTGTTATTTGTAGCCAAAAGATTCCTGAATGATAGTGTCTACGTATATTCCAGGAAAAAAATCGTATGTATTATTTTAATACATTATTTATTATTTAAATAATGTATATATTTTAAATAACATGTTAATATATTATATATTTATATATATTCTGAAGTTTATAGTCCTTTATAGAAAAATAAGCATTCTTAATAATAGTCAGAATATTATTATTATTAAGAATATTGATATTCTTAGTGAATATTCTTAAGAATGCTTATTTTTCCCTGTAAAAATTGCCTGCATAACTTCTGTCTAAAGATTTTAGAATGTGTAATGCTAGGACCTGAGTCTTGCTCTTTAGGGACTGGACTTATTACAACCCTGTGGTACAAGACTCAGCCCTGAGTACTTTGAGCTAAAGACCAATTAGGCTGAGATATGTCAGTGTTCTTGTAGGTGTGTTTCCTGTTTCCTGTTTGCAAAGGCAGCTACAGAAGAAATAAAAGTAACAGCCTTGCATAAACCACTTACTGAGCTGTCAAATGTTCAAGTAAATTATTCATTAATTATGAGTGCTCTCAGTCGCAGGGCCACACAGCTGCTGGTGAGATCTGCTGGGATAGCTGCGGAGGCTCTCGGGTCCCAGGCGCTGCGCCACCGCATAGCGTGAGTTACTTTTTTAACCTCTCATGTGCCTTGGTTTTAAATTGTGTAAATTATGATTCAGAATGCAGAGATGTTGCATCCTAGGTTGTTGTGTGTTTAGTGTTTCATATAGAAAATGCTGGTTTGTAGCTGCATGAAAGCTTTGCTATGAGTATACATTTCCATTTTCAACTCTAGATGAATTTGTGTTTGACCGAAAACTATGCACCCATTCTAATTTTTTAAAAAATTCTGTTCTCTTCTGATTAAATAGAAACCTAAAGAAATTTACTCAAAAAAAAAAAAAAACATAGAAGTGATAATGAAGTAAAAACCTGACTTGCTTCCTAGAAAAAAGGGCAGTAAGTATGTGCCCCTCCTTACTTCCCAAATCTACTCATTTGGTATGGAAAATTGAAGAGGATATTGTGCAGCAAGCAGATGGAATGTTTTGTAATTCAGAAAAGGTTCTTTTGAAATTCTACTATAGTGTAGTCAGGACGGCAGCACCTGCAATAGTGACTTTGCTCTTAAGGTAGGGACATGATTACTTTCCTAATTTGTTGACGTGGGTCTCAAAAGCCGTCTCATTGAATGTTTAGGAAATTGGCTTTTCAGGAAGGGAAATCTATGATTTATGAATGTCTTGGAAATTTTTCAAAATATGTTAATGGCCTCAGATGAGAGCCAGCCAAGATTTGTAGGCAAGGTAATACGGCTTTAGCCCTGGTAATACTTTTTGTGGCTGTTTGTAAACGAGGCATGAGTATTAGTCTAATATTTACTTGGTCAGATAGTTTTATCTAAGGACAACTGGCAAAAATATTAAAATAAATGTGGGCAAAAACAAAACCTTAGTTTGTATTTTGCTGATATTGGAGGGAAGAGAAATTATATAAAGTAAAACTTAAATGTACTTAGCTTTTCTTCATCCCACTACCTTCATCCCCATTAAGTCTCTGTGGCTTGATTATTAGATGAGAAACATGGCTCAACAGGATGTAACAAGAAAGTGAAAGTGAAGGGCCTTTATTCCAAACTGGGTAGGCTAGTCCTTTTGATAAGATCTGTATAGGACAGTAGAGAAAGTATTTGAAGTCAAGCTAACCAAAATATATTGTTGTTGTTGGTTTTTTCTTCATGACATTGAGAACTAAGCCTCAGTCCCAATGCATTTCTCCTGGAGGCCAAGAAAGAATTGTACATTTAAGTTGGTAGTGATCAGGCAAACTGAAGAGGATCTTTCTTCTTCTGATACTCTGACTGAAGTACTTAATGGATATCACAACCCTAAACATGATAGTAGCCATTGGCTTCGTTCCTTGGATCTTTCTGATATCAAACTAAAGAATAATAGAAAAATGTGCATTTTTGCCCAAAGACAGTAAAGCACGAGTATGATCCAACATAAGAACCCTTTCCCTTGACAGGAAGGTATAGGGAATCAATGTGTTTGCCATTGGTTTCCGGCCATTTCTGCCCCTCCTCAGGCATCCAGGTCTCTCTTCTGTGTCTGTGACCTCAGGGACAGGTGATTCCTCACTGCAGGTTCCCTTCTTGAGTGAGCCCCAGACACACTCTACTTCATCTCTGGTTCATGCGGAGCAAGGAGGGGCTACAGGAATTCATGCTGCAGATTTGAGGATCTGCCACACCCAAAGGAGGATAATTTGGATAAAAAATTGACTGAAAAGCTCTTGAGGCATGAAGAAGCCACTTCCTGCTCAACTACTGTTGGCTTGAGAGAGGATTGGGCAAGGGCAGGGGTGAGGATGACCCTGTCACAGAGACTAAGCTGTCTAACCGGGGCTTTCCAAAAGAATGGCCGAAGTTAGCAAACACCGTCCCAGTTTCCTGGGCTTTCTGGAATTTTGTTCAAGAATTCCAGACTCTCTTGTAAAAATTGCCTAGTGACAGAGTTCCTGACAACAATAGATAGCAAAGATACATGTAAGGGAACCATTTTAAAGTGAAGTATGTGAATAGACTCTAGGTTTACGATTATTTCTGACTTCCTGTTGTCTGGGTATCTCTCTTTAGCTCCTTAGGCTAGAATTATTTTGTCTGGATCCCCAAGAAATCCATATTCTTCCCCCAAGGCTTCCTATGTGACTAGCTTCTCAGTTACATGCTGTTATATGGAATTATATTTCTCTACAGTTTTCTGCACTAAAGATCTCTTTCCTCCTCCTCTTAAAAAAAAATTCTATTTTAATCTTCTTAGCCTTGGAGCTCTCTATATTTTCAATGTCTCAGAAATCCTCTTCTATTAAAAAACCTACTTTGTCAACAGTATAGCTTTTGTTCAGGAGCAGTAATGGGGAGAGATTATTTCAGAGGCTGAGAGCACAAGACACCAAATATCTAGGGGATAATTAGGGTACCCTTCCAGATTTGTTTTCAGATGTTTTTAAATAGAGACAAATACTGATCATCCAAATAATTGATTCACTGACAACTATTTTCCATTCAGTCATGTTCTTAATGCCAAAACAGCTAATAAGTTCAAAGAAAAAAAAAAACCCAAACTGCTTTTTATTGGTGTGTAGGAAAAGAATAGAAAGAGAGTAGTTGACTTCCCAGCAATTTTGCAACAAGTTCCTTTAGTGTCATGTAGACTTAGGAGAATGTAGTTTGTAGTAGATATGATAATTCCAATTAACCAAAAAGTATTGATAAAGCACCTACTAACTGGAGCCCTTGTGGAGAATGATGTAGTATAACATGGACTTATATATTTGATAACACATCATGTTACTAGAAGCCTAATTCATTTACTCATTCAATAAATATTTATTGAGTGTGTTAGATGGTGGGGATATTTGTGGGGAACAAGGCAGGCATGATTTCTGCCTACAGTTGAGTGATGTGAGGTTGGGGGGAAATATTAATCAAGTAATTACACAAATATATTTTACAAATGTGATCATTACTGTGATGGGGGTAGGTGGGGAAAGAAACATGGGAAACCAAGACTATAAAATACAGGTACTACGTCTAGTGTGAGTGGTGATCAGGGAAGACTTCCCTGAAGAAATCTGAAGAGGTTGGGAATGGGGAGGAGAGTATCCTGGGCAGAAACCCTGAGGTAGAAGAGAGCATGGAGCTTACTGGGAACTGAACCAAGGCCAGTGTTGCTGGAGAGCAAGTGGGGCACGATGTGGGGGAAAGCTAGAAAAGTGGCGGGGCAGATCATGAAAGACTTAGTAGACAATAAATGAATGAATGAATGAATACATGAACGAACATGGGTAGTTTATAACATGGAGTGAGTCCTATTGTCTCCTAAAAGGAGTTTGCAATTGTATAATTACTCTGCTGTTTTGGAGAAGGTATTTATTATTCATTCATTAACTCATTCAGCCAGTAAATACAAGACAAAATCCCTGTTCACATGGATCTTAAACTCTAGTGGACCAAGCAGATAATATGCTAGTAAACAAATAAGCAGATTTTATAGTAACTTTTTGTTTGTGAATAAATGATGTGAGTAGTCTTTAGATGGAATTTTAAAATTCATTTCAAATATTTATTGTATTGCATTTAAGTGTGGTTATTCCTCTGTTTATTTAAATAAAGTTACATCTTCTACCAGAGCTAGGACCATGCTCAGCACGTGTTCTTCACAGTACTCAGTTCACAAAGACTTTGGATAAATTCCAAGAGAAGAAATAAGAGAGGGAAGTTGTGAGATTTATGTTTGTTCTTGTTTCTGAGGAGAAAATTGATTCCACTGCCCACGCACCCACCCCCCAGGTCCTTACCATCTCTTCTTGGAATGGTGGGGGCAGGAGGAGGGGAGCAACAAAAAGACTCAAGTGAAAACAACAGAGGCTAACGCCGATGGAGAAGGATCCAAGAGGGAGAATATTCCAGAGTCTATTTCTTTTGATAAAAAGAGCTTAGTATATCTTATGATACACTTAAAATACTGTATAGGTTTTGCACATTTGCTATCTCTATAAAAGGTTCGCATCTTACAATCAATGTGTACATTTAAGGAGAGACATTTCTTTGCCACATTCCCCAAAGCTGTCATTTAATTGACGGTGCATCTTAAAAGCATCAGTGACTTACAATTCAGAAAATAATACTTATCTGGACCCTTGTTTGAATTTTCAATCATGCCTGTCTTTTCTGCTTGAAGATTTCCCGATGGCAGTGTCTGCATATCTACCTATAAAGTATTACCGTTGATGGAATTAAACCAGAGCACTTGTGAGGGTCACCTTCAGGTCCTGCTTGCAAAAATCAGAAAGTAGTTCATTGTATCAAAGGGAGGCATAATAATTATGTTTTAATCTTCAGGAACATCCTTGTTTCTAATTTCCAAGTTGTATGAATCAAAGTGATTATTTCCGTATAATCCAAGAGGAATAATAGAAATGTTGTTAGTGTGATCCTTTAGTACAAGAGTTCTTAGTGCAGCTCTGTTAATGTTTTGGACCAGAAAATTCTGTTGTGAAGGGCTGTCCTATGGAGTGTAGCATATTTGGTAGCGTCCTGATGCCAGTCGTATCTCCCCAGTCATGACAGCCCTCTCTAGACATTGTCGCATGTGCTCTGGGGCAGGCAAAACCGCTCTCAGTTGAGAATGACTTCTTTAGTATATCATAATCAGGGCTCAGTGCTGTGTTAGCTTTGTATTATAGTTGTATTGCAAACGTGTCCAATTCTAAATGCATAGCTTTTAGTTTAACAGGATGGTATCTTTATAATTCTATAGTTCTTACATCACAATTAAAAATGCTATTATGAAACCCGAAGTCTAAATAATTAGATTTTTATTCAGCCAAATATGTGACATTCTGACATGGTAATATGTTTTGGGGCCTGGGGGGCAGGGATGGTTTACACTTTGAGGGCCTTATTTTATTGGTTAAAACCTTGCAAGATTTTATCCTCATAGTTTAAAACTTGCTTAGCTGCTCAACTGTTTCTTTAAAGATACATTTATGGGAATCTTCATGCCACAAAGGACTCCAACTCAGTCAGCTGTAATAACTAATAGCCTTTTGGTG